ACTAGATTTTGAGCATTGGCGCTATAGCAAAACTAATTTGATACCCGGCTTCAGCGGTCGAACAACCCCTTGGAGACCGATGAGCAAAATCCACGGCTTCAAAACTTTTGGGGATATGGAATAGGCCGTTGAACCTCCGCTTTGGAAGGCAGTTTCTGGGCAAGGTCTCAGACAAAAGATTTTTCCGCTCACCTTAGGCTAACCCTTGCAGCTGATTTCGAAAATCAGCTTGCAGAGCACGACAATGTTTGGAAACGGGTTGAGGACCCCTTAATTTTTGGACGCCCGCCCCCAAGATTGAGAACTAGATCGTCGTGGGACCCTACGTCTTGATCATGCGGCTTGACAATTTTCAAATTTCATTTGACTCCTTTTTCATTCTCATACAGTGTCTTTTCCGTTAGATTTTCTTTTGCATCATGGAAATCCTTCCATTTCAGTTTAAGGCGTTCATTTCTGGTGACCATCACAATGAAATTCGTAGCATACTTGCCCTGAGTACTGAATTTGCTTTAGGTGAGTTTCTTCAAATTAAAACTTTCTTTTCACTGTTTCGAAATGCTGTCTCTGCAGCCGACGAGTGTGCTGCTGCTTGGAGTGCTCTAATGTATGTGATGCAGTCCTTCAATAATAGTGCATTAATTTTCGAGATTTTTCCGTGCGACAAAAATTTTGGGCCTTAGTGGAGCTTGAGTTTATGAGTTTACCACACATACGATCTCTGTTCTGCACATAAAAGAGTTATAGTTCTCTCATCTATATTCCTTTGCTTAATTTACTTTCCTGGCGAAGAAGTGGTGGATCTTTTGAAATTTCTACTTGCCCGCCAATGAAGGAAAATATTGTTTAACTTCAGCTCGCCATGTTTTCACGTCCTTGCCGTTATTCCTGTCCCGTTATTCCTTTCAAAAATTTCATGTAAACATGTTGTTTCATCTACTGCAAAATAACGACGCTGTTATGAAGGGAATGGCAAACCCCATAACATAAAGCGCATCGCGGTGTTTGCTTGCCAGTTTTCATCGATATTTGAACAAAAACTTTTTTGGGTTCCTTTTGCGTTCTCCTAGTTTTGGTTATATGCTC